GCTGCCCTTCTGGTTAGCAGCTAGTTGTCTTACCCATTACCCCACAAGAGCGTATCTACAGTTGAAGCTGATTCCCAGGTGATTTCTATGCTTGTGAGAGACTGAGAAGCACTGGTACTTGGCTATACATTAGAGTCACCTGGGGAGTTTTAAAAAGTTCTGCAAAGGGTTCTTTCTACCCTAGAGATTTTGCTTTGATTGGCATTGGGTGTGGCCTGGGCATCTGGATTTTTAAACATTCCCCCAAGTGGTTCTAATTGTGCAAGGATGTCTAGAGTAATTGGTGTCTCGAAATCACTTGGGAATTTGGTAAAAATAGAGAGGGCTGGGCTCTGTCCTCCAGAAGCCTCTGTCCTTTGTTAGTTGCCCAGTGATTCTGATGCACCCATTTTGGGCTGGAAAGGTCCTGATTTAGAAGATCGTTTCCTGTTTTCTTGGTAATTGTCACATAAGCTGGAATGAAATGCTTTGTTGATATTAAAGAAAATTGACCTACTAGATCTTACATAAGTAAATGAATGAGTTTGTGAAGACTTGTTTCTCACAGAGCGTGGTATTCTTGGTGTTTCCTGCCTGTGATTTTCGTATTGTGTTTCAAATTGGTGAATTTCTGGTCTGTTAAGACAATCTTTTCCCCTTTTCGATAAATAGAGGAGCTCTGGTGGCGTAGTGCCTAAGGCTAACCAGAAGGCCGGTGGTTCAAACCCACCAGCCACTCCTCAGAAGGAAGATTGGACAATCTACTTCCATAGTGATACTGCCTCGGAAACCCAAGGAGGGGTCACTGTGAGTCAGATCCGACTCTACGGCAGTGAGGTTTTTTTGTTTTTTTTTCCCAATAAATAGAATTATCATTTAAAACATTCTTGGTTTTCAGAATTACTAAGAATTCTGCAAGCTGGTAGCTTCATGGTCAAATGGGCCAGTTCCTTAAGGTGCATGTTCTTAAGCCTCTGGATCTGAATGTTCTGTGATTCTGAAGTGTCTGAGGTTTAAGAAAAGCCCAATACCCAGTTGTCACAACCCCAGAGGTAGCCAGCTGCAGCATGTCAGCTGAGAGGGGTTGGCACGGAGAGGGGATTTAAAGATGGCTGGTACATTCAGATCCTAGCTTATTTCAGACTTTAGGTTACAGGGTCAGGAGTGTTGCATTTGGCTTGATTCTATCTTGGGCACTGGGGGAGGGAATGGATAACTAGGTGACTTTTTTTTTTTTTTTTTTTTAAGTATACATTTAAGTTTTGTACCAGCTACACTGTTTCATTTTTGTGATACAAAAAGTTTCTTGTATACTAGTGCAGCCAACCTTTGTTAAGACATGGAGCTTATTAACTCTTTCTGGAAAATGGAACAAGAATCGATGAAGATGTGGCAAATAGTTCAGGGACAAATTCAATTTTCTGTGAAAATTAATTGCTATTAAAAATGTGCCACAGAACTGTCTTCATCCTATTACTAACTTCAGTTTCAATCCTTATGTTTCCTACAGTAAAGTTTTATGTGTGAATAGAAGTAAATACGTATTTTTTAAATTTGTGTTTAAATCGGGACTGAAGTAGCAAGTCAGCAGCATTCTCTATTTTCTGTTGCTGATAATGAAAGGTCTGAAATCAAAAGGAATCAACTATGACAGGGAAAGCAGTAATCAATTTGTGTTTTAGTGGAGATTAACTGGTTTCAGGCAGCAGTAGATAAGAAAGAATGAAATGAGAAGGGCCCAGGAAAAGAAGGCTCCCGGAGCCCTAGAGGGACACAGGTTTTGCAGCTTGTTCTCTTAAATGGAGCTGTGTCCTGAGGGGAAAGCTGTGACCCCTGCTGAGTTACGGAGGAAAAACCTTTCCTGGAGCACCCCTTTCTGGTGAACTCGGACAAATAGGGGCTCTCTTGGTTTCCACCTTAAAGCAGTAATACTACTTCTGGGTAACCTGATGCTGTTCCGAGAGTCAAGGGCTATTTCAGCACACTCAATCCCTCAATAAACAGTTCCCCTCAGTAAATAGAACTAGAGCCCTGGTGGCACCATGGTGTAGCATTCAGCTGCTAAACAAAAGGTTAGTGGTTTGAACCCATCAGTGGCTCTGTGGGAGGAAAGACCTGGTGATCCGTTCCTGTAAAGATTACAGCCTAGGAAACCCTATGGAGCAGTTCTGCTCTGTTATTTAGGGTTGCTTAGGAGCTCTGGTGGGAGCTCTGGTAGCATAGTGGCTAAGGCACTTGACTGCTAACCAGAAGGCTGGCGGTTCAAACCCACCAGCCACTCCTCGGAAGGAAGGTTGG